GTCGATTTTCTTTGGGTTTGCATTTTTGGAATCTACTGGCAAAATCTGAAAGAATAGCAGTTTCAAAATTTCAAAATTCGAAAATTTGTAGCAGACATTTTTTTTGCCAAATTTTGCATTTTTTTCATTTTTTTTGCTTTTTGTCTGATTAATCTGAAAAAAATTGAGCAAAGACAGTTTAAGAAAGTAAACAAAATGGTACAGTAAAAATTTCAATTTCACTTCCGGTTTAAACAGGAAATCGATGTTCACTTCCGGTTGAATATCTTCCGGTGTAATTTGTATAGGACAAAAAAATTTATGCTGATAGATAGACAAAGTTATGACAAAAAAACGAAGAAAAAAAAATCCGGAACAGACGTGAAACTTTGGCCGCCATTTTGATTTCCCTGAAACTCTTCGATTTTTATTCAGCCGAACCGAACCGAATTTCAAAATTTTGGTGTCAAATGAAAGAACATAAAAATTAAGAGAGATCGCAGGAAGCCGATTTTTGAATTTCGATTTTGCTTTTTTGCAATTTGCGATTGAATTTTTTCAATATTTGATGGCGTATATCTCGTGACCTTGACCTTTGATGACCTTGACCTTTATAGGGTCAAAGGTCATTGACCTTGGCTTTCATTTGATACTTTGACCTTTTACCTCCGACATGTACTTCCGGTTTTATAGCTATCCGTAAAAAGCCAAATTCGCAACTTTGGACTGCTCTAGCACGTGACCTAATTAACCTAGAGGGTTAATTTTTTCGGTTTTCTAATGTGCTTCTCATGCACTTTACATAGATATATAACAATCGTTTTTTTAAAGCAAAATTGAAATTCGTGATTTTTTCAAATTTGAGTTTTTTTTTTATAATATTTGCGTCTTTTTGAGCTTGGTATATGTATATCTTATGATCTATTTGATGTAGAACCTTGATATTTGGAATACAACTAGACACTTTGAATATGAATTCACCTATGACAAAAAAGTTATGTGGGCGTGGCACATCCGGGTTGAATTACTAATTGTTTACATTTAAAGGGAGGGGCATAATTCGCATAGGATGCGTTTTTTCAAAAAGGGCCTTTGCACACAATTACCTCATCCTTTTGGCCAGTTTGTGTTAACAGCTCAGTTGTTTCAGCTTTATAGTTCCAAAAAAGGAACGGGTTTTTTAATTTTGGATATTTTCATTTTTCGATTTTGACCTTTGTTGACTTTTGTTGACCTATATCTTTTGACCTGTATTATGTAGAAGCTTGACATTTGGAACATAATGTAACATTTCAAATATCGATTAACCTATGCAAAAAAAATTGAGGTGGGCGTGGCACATCCGGGTTAAATTACTCATTATTGATATTTTTGGCCAGGGGCATAACTCGCAAAATATACATTTGTTCAAAATGGAACTTTGCATACAATTACATCGTATTTTGAGCCACTTTATCTCAGAATTTCGGTTGTTTCCGCTTCATAGTTCAAAAAAAGGAACAGGTTTTGGAAATTCAAAATTTTCAATTTTTGACCTTGACCTTTGTAGGATCAAACGTCATTGGCATTGGCTATCTATTTATAGTTTTATATTTTCCGTCCTATGTCAGCTTCCGGTTTTATAGTCGTGTGCAACTTCAAATTTTGATAACGTATATCTCTTGATCTTGACCTTTTTAGACCTTCTCTTTTACAAGATCAAAGGTCATTGCCCTTGGCTATCTGCAGATATTTTCATTTGTGAAGTCTGACGTCTACTACCGGTATTAGAATCTTCTAAAAAATGAAAATTTCTAAAATTTAGACTGTTCCTGCGCTTGATCTAATTTTCGTCGAAGGTTGATTTTTTCGGGGTCTTTTGCATTTTGCCACATTTGCAAAGTCCCACTCTGTGCCACGAGTGGCTCTAGTTGTAATTGATATTATTTAGGTTGACATGGTTTAGTGAAGATTATTTGACTACGAAATAAATAGGGATAAATTACACTGTGTCCTACTTAAAAAGAAACGAGCCCATTTCATATGCTGCTTCTGTGATAATAACAAGTGGCCCGTGATGTTAACATTATAATTTATTACTGTCACATACGAGTTGAAAGTTGAAATAAACGCTATTTGAATAACATTACTCAGAACAGTATTATTGTCATGCATAGAATGATCTACTTAATAGTAAAAGGTAGGTTTTCTCTTGTCGGCAATTCGTACTTTTTTTTTTTTATCTACAACTGGTTGATCGTTATGATTAGCCCTATCATGGACATTAAGGGTCATTTGTATAAGATCTCCATCTATATTTCAATATAATTGATATGTTTACATTTAATTAAATGATATATTCAATGACAATGGTTGGGCCGGTTATAACATTTAACATTTAACAATAGTGTTAAATTTCCACAATTTGGACTCGGTACCTGGCAGGTAATAATAACGCTACTCTTTCAAATGATTCCATAAGTTTAAGTTTTGCATAGCGAATACTTTTATGCCTGTAATGTATTTCTATTTCAAAATATATTTCAAAGATAGCTTGCCAGGCAAGGTAATATACGCCCACTGGCAGCTTTGATTTTGAAAAAAAATATTCAGCATTACAGTAACAATCACCAGTATGAAATATTCAACCTTCAGTCATACACTTCTTTTGAACTCTTTAGGGCGATAATGAATAATGAGTATGAGTTATTGCCCTTGTTCTTGAAAACGTGTTCAATTTTTAGCTCATGAAAACTTTAAAAGGCAAATATTCAATCTTCAGCGCGGGACTGAATAATAAAAGCAAGTTTTGTCAAAATCCAGCAACAATCATGAATTTTAGTGTTTAAGAGCTAAATTTGAAAGCGCTTTCAAGAACAAGGGCAGTAACTCATACTAAATATTTTTCAATTCTTCTGATTTTCAATAGGGTTCATCCTTAGGTGATTCAAAAATCACAAAAAGTAATCAATGGTTATCCCATAAAGTAAGGTTTGTACATGGACTTTCCTCTAAAATCTTAATAAAACAGTTGTTAAATAACTGGGGTTAAAGTATTTTCAATATTGAAGAAAAACCACTCATCGACAATCATAAAAACATCACGAACATCTTTAGCATCTATCTATAATCGTTCACAATCCAATTTTGATCCATTGATTCACTTTTTTAAATTTTCAAGACAAACAGCGTTCAAATTTAAAAAAAAAAATAAGGAAAATCTTTTTCAAACTTCAACTAATGTTCGTAAATAAGTTAAAATTAATATATAAAATCAATAAGTGCATAACTTATGTTTCAGCAAATTTTTCCTCGAAAGTATGAAATTGTTTTGATAAATCACCGATAAAAGCTGCAAATATATAGGTGTTCATATAGTTTTCTATAAGGGGTTCCATCCTATTCATTTTTATGAAATGTCGGTCCGTCCGTCAACATTTCTTGTGAGCTCTATAGAGACTACAGTTTTCATCTGATTTTGATAAAACTTTGTTTGATGCTTTAGATTCATAAAGTCTCGGTCAAGGTCGAATTTGACGTTTTTTCGATGAACGGTTTTTGAGATATTACCCTTGACTTTGTTAAGACGCTTCGAAATTTGTTAAAATAGTTCTTGAGCAGGATTGAAGCAACAATTTTCAACCGATTCTGATGAAACTTGGTGTGATCATGGGAATTGATAAGATCTCGGACAAGTTCTAATTTGACGCATTTTCGATGAATGGTTTTTGAGTTATTGCCCTTGATGTAAAAACGTGTCAAAATGTGTTCGTTAGCACTATAAAAGCTACAGTTTTCAACCGATTTTGATCAAACTTGATATGATCATTTGAATTAATAAGATCTCGGACAAGTTCTAACTTGACGAATTTTTAGGAAACTTAGGAAAAACGCTTCAATATGTTTTTTGCCCTTGATTAGAGCTGTGTGATTTAATTGTTTGTTGTATTTGAGTTATTGATATTGATTTTATAAAATTTTGTGGAATTACTCAGTATAAGTAACTGTCAGTAAATATATATATATATATAATTGAATTGAAACCAATAAAATTTCTTCAATATGAGAAAATTCCTACTTTAGTCACTAATCACTTTATCATTTCTGACAGCTGACAGCTGCCAGTGGGCGTATGTTACCTTGCCTCGCAAGCTATCCTGGCATATATGTCATTATCATTTGCACATACTACCATATACTCGTCTTTGACAAGAAAAGGGATGTTCCGTATTTCTATTTTAATTTGTTTAGTTGATATCATTTAGGTTGACATGGTTTACTTTAGATTATTTGACTACAAATAGTGATACATTTACCTAAATCATAAAAAATTACACTGTCGACTTAGGTCGACGGATACGGTGTGATTAAAGTGATACACGTCTTAGAATAAACATACAATTTAAGAATTTTAAACTTGGCCAATAAGAGCATATATTCATCAGTAGATATACCTGGTGTTATATATAACATAACAGGTTCCTTATATAATCCGATCCAAAAAACTTAATAAAAATGCAATTAACTATTGAAAAACGCTTAATATTATGATTAAGCGTTTTTCAATAATTACTTAGTTTTATGAATTTTCCAATTTTTTTAGATTTTACAGGCATTCTGTGGTAACTTTATGACACCAGGTAAGTTCACTGATGAATATATACTCATATTGACCATTCTTGAGAATTAAATTTTATGTTATTCTAACACGTAGTATCACTTTAAGTAAACGTGTCCATTTAATATACTTTTCTTACCTTAATAATAATAACAAGTGACCCGTGATGTAAAGGAATCTGTGTAACATTCTTAAGTTATTATTAGGATGACCTAGGTAGTGTCTCTTCATAAATTATGTATAGTCCGTAGTTTCAAATTTTGATATCGTTTTCTCGGTACTGAACAGTTCGTACTATCTCTTTTTATCTACAAGCGGCTAGTCTTTATGATTAGCCCTATCAGTAGAGGTCATTTGTGTAAGCTGTCCATCTATATTTCAGTATAACTGATAAGTTTCCATTTAAGTTATTGATATTTCAACAATGGCAATGATTGGGCCCTTTATAACATTTTACAATGGTATTAAATTTCCACAATTTGGACTCGGTACCTGGCAGGTAAGAATAACGCTACTATTTTAAATGATCGTTAAGTTTATGTTTTCCATAACCATCACTTGAAATATTTGGGTTTTTTTCAAAAATGTATACAAAGGCTATGAAGGAAACTGGAGATGTTACCATTCGGTGAGCTTTTTTCTGGGTAGTTGTCAGGGAAGTTTACTTCATAATTATAGTACAAAAGTCAGGTCGACCAACAATATGATTTATGAATTATTTCTAGTTCAACTGTTACATTTTCTCTTGTTGAAGAGTACGAAAGAGGAATGTAAGACGGCAGTCAGAGCTGCTCTAGATGCTGGGTATCGCCATTTTGATTCTGCTTTTGCCTACGGAAATGAAGCCGATATTGGTGAAGTCATAAATGAATATATTAAAGCTGGTAAAATAAAGAGAGAAGATGTCTTCATTACATCGAAGGTACCTTTTACTTAATTTTACGAACATTCGACAGATATCTGATTTGAACGTGTTAATGTAATGGTGTGTATTATTTAATTCAAGCTTTGGTCAACATTCCATGATAAAGTAGCAGAAGGTTTTAAGAAGTCTTTAGATAATCTGAATTTGGGTTACATTGACCTATTTCTGTTTCATTATCCAATTGCATTGGAGGTGAGTAGAGACCACGCTGAGTTGTTAGTTAAATATGGAACTGTCTGCAATTAAATGAAATTAAGATCGCTTTGAAAACAATCTTACGGAAGATGATTGATATATTTCCTCATATAAGTTCATTAGACGCTACCCATGTATGACGGAATTGATACTTTAAAATCCGTGGTTCATTAATACTTGGCTTTGATACTTATAAAACATGATAAACGTGTATCTAATCTTACAGGATACTGGTTCTGGTGATCTTTTCCCAAAAAATATTGATGCCGTCAAAAATATTCCAATTGAAACATCATGGGCGGTAAGTAAGTTTTCATACAACATAGAGTTATAGAAGTATTCAGCTCGACTGGTCTTATATCGTCAAATAACCTGCTAACTCCTGTTCATAAGATCCCACTTCCTACTCAAATAAATATATAAAATATTTTATTTAATTTGCCATACTATTATATTTTAGGATATGGAGAAACTGGTTGCTACTGGTAAATGTAAATCTATAGGTGTATCTAACTATGGTCCTAAACAGATTGAAAGACTGGTACAGAAAACTAAAATTAAACCAGTAACAAACCAGGTGATATCTTTACGATTGAATAAATACTGAAAAATTTATACTGGTATCATTACGACTCAATAAACGCTTAATGATTGTGGCAGCATGGTTCAAGCTCTTGTGTTCTTTCATTATATATAAAGTATTTCTCTTTTGTGAACAGGTCGAGTGCCATGCTTATTATCAACGGAATGAACTATACACAGTCTGTACGAAGCACGATATAAAATTAACGTCATATGCCACTCTTGGATCTCCTGCTCGACCAGCTCATATGTAAGAATCTTTTTGTTACCTAACCTGCAAAGCAGCAATTTGGCGTTGCTAATATTGAGCAGAGGGAACCTATGATGATTTGTCTCGAATTATTAGTATCTGGTCATATATATTGCTACTTTGACAATGAATCAACCCTATCTCTATTCCAGTGTTGATGACACACACTCAGTTTTATTACAAGATCCAGCGATTAAAAAGTTGGCTGAGAAATACAAGAAGTCGGCTGGACAGGTAACTATAATCTAAACTGTAAGATTCAAAAGACTTTCGAGGGGAAGTAGAAACTAAGGTTAGGGAATTAAGTGATATGTTATATAAAATATACTCAACACCTTCAGTAGTTTGCGCATTTAATCGAATTAAGCATTTCTCGTCTTGTAAACATGGGCATATGTTTAACTCGAGAATTACAGAAACACTTTAGTTGAATAATATATATTGTTATAGATCTTACTGAGACAGATGGTTCAGAGAGGTATACTTGTTATACCAAAGAGTGTGAACCCTAAAAGGATCAAAGAAAACAGTGAGGTAATGTATATTCCTTTCGTTCGAATAAAATATATGGAAGAAAAATATTATGTGCCTTTATGTCAATTCCTTATCACTTACAAATAGTTAGTAAGGTTGAGTTTAATTGTGAGAAAACAGGCTCCTCCCTGGGACTTGGGATATACATGTAAATATACTTTTCATTTACAAATACTCAGCAATCGTAAAGTTATCTTCTAGAGTAAGAAGACACTAAGACAGACTAATATATTTATAATAATTGTCCATTTTAGATTTTTGATTTCGAATTATCACCAGCTGATGTGAAACAGATCGAAAGTTTGGATAAAAATTTACGTTTATTTGTTGTCGACAGGTAATTATACTGTCATTATTTCTAGTATTACAAATACTGCTTCTTTCAACTTTTAAAAATCTTTCAGTTTAAGCAAACCACGTGCAAATATGAAATCTTTTCAGAAGCATTTTTCTATGACAATTTGTTCTCTTTTTTAGTCTTTTTAATACATCGCATCCTGAATTTCCACATTAAATCAACAAGAAGAACTAGGCTACATGGTGTTTTATATAATAAAATATGTGAATTTATGAAATAAAAATGCTTTATATCTTGACTTTTGTTATTAAATTAAGATTTGTGTAGCACTAGGTCTAATTAAAGAGACGTTGGTATTTACAGTTTGTCTAATTTTACCCAAAGCTGATAATTAAGCTCTATCATCTGGTAAGGTGGCCAGTCCAAAATAACTTTCACTATATGGGACAAGACATAACAGTTTAGAGATATACGGAACGCTTCTTGTTTGTAATCCTATATGGTTAGAAAAAAGACCAATAATGAATCAAATAAGTAATCAATGGTAATCCCAATCAAAAAGATAAAAATCTTGACAAAAAATTCTACAATGTAATTGAATGATATTTCATTATATATATCTATTGAATAACTTAGTGAATTAAATAGGTGTTACGGTAATATCAATAAGAATTGAAATAGCTGAATCATGGTAATCTATAAATAGGACGGTTGTACAATACACGGTCTGTATATTTTACTTGTTTAGTTTTATACTTGTCGTAAGGTAAGAATTATATTATTTGGGACATTTCGGTATTTTATTATAGTATTATTCATACGACATACACTAGTAATTATCGTGTCGAGCAAAACAAAGGAAAGCTCCTCGATAGCATGCTTGCAATATTGCACAATTAAGACAAGAATCACTAGGTTTTTTTACGTATATGGTCCTGTAGTAAGATGTGAAATTGTATTACGACATATTTATAGGTCAATCATTTTAACTGTACCATGGGAGAGAATGTGTCAGAATAAACTGCTTAGTCGTCGATTTGTGTCGCAGTGGATTCGTTCACCGGATTTATTTAGAGACTTTGTGTCCAACAGGATTGGTACAAAAGCCGTTTTATGAGGTCCGAATTATGCCTTTTATTTTCAACATGCCTATAATACTTCTTACGTCTATGGTTCCTGAAATTCTATAAATTGGTTACTAAAAAGGAACATGCGAACAATCGTTTTTCCACGATTACAGCAAAAACACAGTTCCAATGGGGAAACGTTTATCGACTCACAAAGGTCTATTAAAAAAGGGGTCCCTTATTTTCATTTATGACAATGAAAATGCTAATACTTATATGAATAGAATGAAGATGTGTTCTAATGACTTGGAAAATACCAGTTTGTCCATAATTAATTCAAAATCAACTAAATTAGAAGAGAATTACCAGCAGAATTCCAATTAGTAACTTTTTTTTGTTTATTAAGATTGCTCATACATGGACATTTCTGATTGGTTACAACTCTTAATTATATGCAATTACATGATAATTCATTAAAAACACCAATTCTTCAAATAGTTTGCTTAATTTGACACTAAAAAATAAGGAAACCAATCTATAAAAGTGAAAACCTACTTCAAGGTTTAGGTACATAGATATATAGAAAACTTATTTTAGAATGTTTTAGACTTTGAACTGCTTTGTATCAACTTATTGACTCAAGATAAATGACCACAACGTATATGGAGACATGTTCAATGGCGCATTAATATAACTGTCTACTACGACAAACCAAAGCGATATAAAAGAAAATGTTAAACAATTTGAATACCGAAGTCTTAGGTTAATCAATTTTAACAATCTTGATGCAAACAGAGTAGGAAAAATACTGCTTTGTTAAGTAAGATGTAAACCCTAATACTAAAAGAATTGAATTATACCCCCTTTCTTCTGTGTCTTAATGACTTTAAAAATGCCTCGCTGTATTTTAGATTAAATTCAAAGCACTGGAAAGTTAAAGCATATTATATGATAATATTGAATGCTTGTTAAATAATTATCCTACATGTGTACATGCCCGTTGATTCTGTTATCATTTTCAGTGTTGAGGTAAAATATCAAGATGGTTGGTCCAATGATAACGTTGAATAATGGTATTAAGTTTCCACAGTTCGGATTGGGAACCTTTCAGGTAGTATTTCTAAATTAACATAACTTATTTCGCTATAATAAATATATTTAAATTATCTATGTTAATAAATATCAAAATCTTGTCTGATGGGGATACAAAGGCAACGTGCACGCCATTAAGTAAATGAGACCACATAAATTGCATTCAATTTCCAACTAAAGCAATAAATATATTGAAAAGAAAATAATATTAGCGATGTGAACTCTTCGAAAGGAATGCCAATTTGACAAATCCGGCTTCAGAGTGGTATCAGGCGTCCCGGAATGGTGAGCATATTAGCCTTTTTGGACTTCACTCAAGTGCTTAAAGCACAATTTATTACTCTTCCGCGTGTACACCTTAAACAAATGTGAGAGCACGAAATATATTTATTGTAGTCTACTAAAGAAGTATGTCAGACTGCAGTACGAGCAGCTTTAGATGTGGGATATCGCCATTTTGATACAGCTTTAGTTTATGAAAATGAAGCTGTAATTGGTGAAGTCATAAATGAATATATTAAAGCTGGTAAAATAAAGAGAGAGGATGTCTTTGTTACATCGAAGGTTTGTTGGTTGAGTTGAAATGTAATTATAGTATATTTACAGCTTCATTGTAACCATTTCAACTTTTGAATGTACAACAGTGAGGCATTCAGAGTAAACAGACAAACTCAAATGATTTTACAGCAAGTTAATAAATGATTAAATAAATATCTTGTATTTGTGTATTATTCTGTCTTCTAGCTGTGGTCGACGTTTATGGAACCAAGTAAAGTTGCTGAAGGATGTGATATATCATTGAAAGCTTTAGGATTGGACTATATTGATCTCTATCTGGCCCACAACTCTATGGCATTTAAGGTTCGTCATTACCTTCTGTTCATGTGATTTCTTCGACATACTGGTGATTAAATTATGAATTTTTCCAAGTTACATTGGATAAAGGTTTATCCAAATAAAAACATTTTAATATTTAATTAAGTTTATTTATACTTATGATTGCTTTTTTTGCTACAGAATACTAGCTCAGGAGGGGCTTTTCCCACTAACCCAGATGGTACTCCAGCTGTACTAGATGTCAAAGTTCAAGATACATGGGCTGTAAGTTTCTTTTTGACTGATGGTAAATTCCTTTTGAGAACACTATAACATGATTCTTGCCCATTTAAATTATACTAATAATGCACATCTCCAACGTAATTAATTTTCATTCAGGCAATGGAGAAACTTGTAAAAAATGGTAAAGTGAAATCTATAGGAGTTTCTAATTACAGTGCTGAACAAGTTGATAGAATTGTTAAACATGGTACAATAAAACCAGTTACAAACCAGGTCAGTAATTAACAACCGACTGATTCCATTTCTGCAAGTAAACGCTATTGCCCCTCCGGATATATTATTTGCCCCTCCGAACAATCAAGTCTGCTATGGGGCTGCCAAAAATCACCAACTCTGACAGCAAATATACTATCTTGACATCTTGTAAAAACTTAAACTTATTATGGTTGAAATCTTAGCATATGACTATGGTAAATTAAAGACAATGAGAGATCAGCAAATTAGACCGGAAGCCAGATAAAAAAAATAGCATCTTGTAACAACACTATCAGGTGTATGTATGTCCGCCGTAAAACTTGACCATCTTCAATATGTTATTGAATTTACAGGTAGAATGCCATGCTTATATGAGACAAGAAGAATTATTTAATGCCTGTAAGAAACATAATGTTTATCTGACATCATATGGTAGTCTTGGTTCACCAGGTCGACCGGAAAGCTTGTAAGTTTAACATCTATTTTGTAAATGTAAATGTAAATGGAAAGACCTGACAAAGTTATTTCCGCACAATCACAATAATTTTATATACCAATGGAAGAACTTGATACGCTGGCAATTGTTGAACATAAAGTCTTCAAAATAAATATAGGTAATGGTAACATTTAATTTTGCAAGTTCGGTTCGAAAATGCGAATTCTTTATGTTATCATTGAGTTTGGCAACACTTCAGAGACATGAACTAACAAAGTAAACCACAATCACACAATCCTGATATTTCAATTGCAGTCGCGATAATAGTCATCCAGTACTTATGGAGGAACCATTTATCAAACAACTTGCAACTAAGCATAAGAAATCACCCGGTCAGGTATGTATTTTTCGCATAATTGATGAAATATATATATTTATTGGATAAGCTAAAAACAAACAGAAAAGTCGTCATGTTAACCCATGCAGAGACTACTACTACACTATTATCAAACATTCTAATCTAACTCTACAAAAGACCTTGAACTTACAAATTTCCAATTTGAAAAGATATAGCTTTATACATTATGTACCACCCACGATAAGTAAGAAAGTTCATACCCATAGATTATAAATATTTTGACATTTTTTTAGATTTTGTTACGTGAATTAATACAGAGAGGTATAATTATTATTCCAAAAAGCTCAAATCCGAAACGGATCAAAGAAAATAGCGAGGTGAGTAATGGACCCGATGCTTAATGAATCTGAGGATAGATTCGAATTTCTATAATGTTATCTTGACGCTTCACAACACAAAATTAATATAATATACTTTTATCAGTACGCAAGATGCTTATTTCAAGGGAAGTAACTTGTACAAAACATATATAATTTCACTGACGACGGTAGTTTCTCGACCAACCGTTCTACAGGTTAGGGAGCAAGTAATTGACGCAGTGAGCCACCACAGCCAGGCGACTTGACTGAAACTATATCTAGCATAAAACCATAGCTTTAACATCAATATTTCAGATCTTTGACTTTCAACTGAGTCCAGCCGAGATGAAGCAAATAGCAGACCTTGATAAAAAGTTAAGATTGTTTGGTTCGTTTGACATGTAAGTATAAAAAGTTCAACTACGATCAACTGGATCAACGCAAACGGTTAATTTAAGAAAATCTGTACCAATATTTGTCGGTGACGAAAAATTTCCAATGCAGATCAATCCCCAATGAGATTATCTGTCATTCTTAATACGAAAGTGAAAACTGTATTAATTGATATGAATTTACTTTTTCAGATTGAAATGTCATCCGGAATATCCATTTCATGCATAAATTATTTATTTTGTTTTGTTCTCCTTAGATATTGTATTCTTTACATTTTTTATATTTTCGTTTGAATATGTTTATATTGAAAATTTATTTAAATCTTATAGAAACATGACCATTGACTATATTTTATCATACTGTTAATCTGACTATTCCCTGTGCTGACATTATCATGAGATGGTGCCTTTAGGACAAACCAGTTGCATTGGAGTCAGGTCCTTAATCTTTGTTTTGATCTAAATACCTCTGACATGATTGTATTAGCCACAAAGCCATAACTTGTAGTCATTGTCATGATTTCGCATTGTGCTCATAGTTTTTGACCTTCACCTTTAGGCATTATTAGCACTCGAGGTAAGGAAATAATATGTTGAAATTACTTTTATATTCTCGCACAAACACACACACACCTCATAGTGCTGCTCTGGGTAATTGAATATCTTTGTTCTCTGTTTGTTGTTTGTTATCAAGACGTCTGAATATTGGTTCTAGTATATGAAGTATGGCTGCTAGTATTGCTAACGCTCCTATAAAATGATAAGAACTGATATATGTCCCTGTTGTGTCTTTTAATAATCCTGAAATTAAAAATTGAAACAAAAATACAAAAATTGTTTTTAATCGATGACATCATAATTGTTTGAGAATATACCATATATTTGCGTGTATAATGCGCCGGATGTTACTCTGCTTCCGATACTGGAGTTGCACATTATAGACATAATTTGTTCACCAAATAAGTATTTTGCATTTGATACACTGAAGGTAGATTCCAGAATAACTGGCAAACCAAATAGCAGAGGGCTGAGCATTTCAAGAAACACCCGCTGCAATTATTAAAGTATTTGAGCCAACAATGAATACAGTTTTTATCTTGAATTTAGACAGTATGTTTCAGCAAAAGAGACATCCTAAACGACAACAGGCTCAGTATATCCAGGAGTATCTCCTTAAAACAAGATTACGTAAGATTCTTTCCTGTTCTTTCAAAGGTAACATAAAAATACTATCAAGCGTATCAAATTTCACCAACAAACCTTTTATATTTTGGTGTTGTGTCTTAACAGGGAACAAAGATACCCATAAGCATATGGTTCCTGAAACATCATAGTGTAACATACTCTAGCCGTTTCTAACAGACCCGTGATTTGTTATTGGTGTCACAAATTGACAATAGTCACCAGAATAATAAGGAAGATAATATACATGCATTACTTACCTATAATGGGATGGATACCAGAGATTATAGCACCATGAGCTATCTGTAGGAACCCCAAAGCTTTAGATAAATTCTCAATTCCTAAAAATTCAGTACATAACACTGGTAGAAATGTTCCGTAAATATTGGAAAATATTCCAAATATCGTGACACATGCAAACTGACTTCCATAATTTGTATAGAATGTCATGAGTTGACAATTGATACCAGCTATTGTTATAGAAATTATCATGATAGTTGATATTTTAACATGTCCTGTATCAGCAAAATATCCAAAAGCCAACCTACTCACAAAGTCCAATGCTCCTATTATACAGAGAAAAATGGGAACATCTTCATCTGAAGTTTCGAACTCAGCAAAAATAGCAGGTAAATATTGTAGGTATATATAAATAGGTATTCCACAACAACTAGATATAGTTATCAGATGAAACAACGGACGTTTACACACAGAAAAATCCAGTCCCTTCAAAAGTGCTAGAAAACCTTTATTAGACTCAGAGTTATTCCTTCGAGTTATATTCTCTACTTGGGGTATTGACGCCATACTTCCCATAATGGTCGAGACGCTTTGGATTTCAGGACGTAAATGTAACCTGTGAATAATTGAAGAACTGCCTCCCTGTTCTCTGGTAGTGTTTATGTGGTTCTTTGAGTGGAGTATAGAGGCAAACCGAGTCCGCTCAACTGGCTGACCAGTCGCGTTCGCGTTGCTTACTGATATGGATGACCAACTGCCTAATCTATCACCTCTAGAGATTCTTTCCCGATGCGCCTCCATCAGCGGCACCTTCAATCTATTACTTATTGTTTGCTTTAATCCGGCACCACCATCTCCCGGTTTTGGTGGCAGTGGTCTTATGAGCAGACTAAATACTACAATGTTGAGTTCAATGCCACAAAATATTAACAAAGTTCCTCGTAAACCATAGGTATCCAATAAAAACCGACAAAGCATAGGAAATAGAACTGTTGCAAAACTGATCCCACTGTTAGTTAATGATATAGCAAATGCCCTTCTCTTTCTGAAATACTGGCTAACTGCTAAGACATTTGGACCAACAATCATCGATTGACCTATTCCTGAAATAAAGTCACACATATTATGTTAATAGATGTCTGAATCCTTTAATAGGTATACATGTATACAAGTGGTCTGGAAAAAGAAATCGGCTTAATATTTTCTGGTATTTACCGATTAAAGCCATTCATATCATGAACGAAGTAGATTATGCAAATATAAAACAGATTCTTACCAACAAAAACACTTTGAGTACATATCAAGACTGTAACATTTTGTGCAAATACCGAGCCAAGGATTCCTAATGATGTTATAATAGCACCACAAGATATCACCTGACGAATGGAGAAGCGGCTGAGGAGAACTTGCATTGATATAAATGCTGAAATGTAAAACATATATAGTTATTTACAGTTCCTGACCCTACTCATCTACCTTAAGACAAAGTAATACCAATAAAATTAAACGGATTACGATATAATCGAACAAATACCTGAGAATGACCCGAATTATTAAGGACATGTTACTGGAAAAAATTGCATTATATAGCTCCATATTACCAGTATACTATACCCGGGATTAATCTCGCATAACATTACAAGAAAATACATTGTCATTCACCTAGTGAACAAAGGACAGGCGGGATGAATTATATTAAAATATGAATAAGCAATTATCAAGGAGCATTAATGGAAATCGTATAATTATCATCAATGATTGGTAAATGGAGAAGGGTCAAGCTGTATTGTAATACCCGCTATTCTGATTTCAGTCATAGGTTCCAATAGATCAGACTATTTATAATTTTACAGAAATATATAGATTCAATTCTATACATCTCCAAAATTATTTGTTTTATTTGAACATCAGACATCTAAGGTTGTTTATTCTAATTATAATAGAGGTCAATGAATAAAACAAACTTACATGACAATGAGTAGACAATTGCCATTACACCAAATATCAAAGTTGTTGAGGTTGCTGAAGCATCGAAGAGCTTTAGAAACTCCACGAATAGTATGCCAAGACAGATCAGATATCCGATAATTATGGTTGCTATCATCATACAGGCTGAAAAACAAATATAAATTCCCTTGAGTCGTTCTTGCTTTCACCGAGAGAAAGTTATTGTGGTCTCCATAAATGGTAAATGACAGACAATATAATTATTTTAAGTGAATAATAACAAAGTTAAAAATATGCTCGACTAGATATAAAAAGAACGACCAGAAACACATGGAAGCGAAAAGAATTACCGAATGCTACCATCCATGCCCATCCTGTATCTATAGGGCGATCATCAGCATCGTCATCAGCATCTAAATCGTCAACACTTTCACCTAAATCTGACGTTTCTACATCCTGCAAGGGAGAGCTGTTTATGACACATTTAGAGGATTGTAGCACGTCTGAAATGTCCATACCACTACTTTTATCAATACAGTTAGTAGATTTATCTGTAGTCTCACTAGAATGATTTACTTGCTCCACAATCACCTCTAAATCCGGGATGTGGAATGCCATTGTGTTTTTTTATGAAAAGGTCCTGAATAATACCCAAATGATCAAATAAAAATGATGACCATGGGTATTTACTGCAGGCGTAATCCCATGATCGGGAAATACAGTCGCAATATTATTCATGTCACTTAACAGAACTGATCCGAGACACATTAAAACTTTTCACATAATTATGTTGGTTTACATTGACCGTCCAAAAGGAGACCTGTACGTCTAAAGAAATATGCCAACTGGTCAATACTGTGCTCGGGAATAGCTGTTATTATTGTCAACCACGTCAATCTATGTTTCGCTGTTGATAATCTTGGTTAAACCTCTGTTGCTAATCTGATTTCTCTATTACTCAGGCGTTATAACGATAACAAGTTACGCGATAAGGTGACATAAATCTCTGAACACTCTTTTAACTGTCTATGAAAATATTGTATGTAGCACTCATTAGAATTGCCATGATGGGTAGACAAACTTTTCTTAAAACGTCGAAAAGCTGAGGACAAAAGTAAGGTCAAGAGAAATAACTAATTAATCTCACCAATTAATTTTATAAGGCGCTTCGTGCCCGGAACAGTATTTGCCGAGATTAAAAAAGCTATTTAGATGTTGCACATTGCCCAGACGGAAGTAAGTATGCGCTCTCTAACGAAAAATTTAAAAACGGCCAACAAAGAGTCAAATTGCGGACAATAATAATTATTAGCACATGCAGAGAAGATTTTGTAATTTGGAACTGGTACTCTTAACCATTTACACTGTCAGTAGAAATGTAAGATCCCTACCTTCGTCTAGGATGCCAGGTCCCGACTAAACTTTAACGGCCAGACACACTCAACACCATGTACATTTGTTATATTAAAGCGTACCGTAACATATTCGAATACCGTCGCTCGAAATTTACGAGGTGTAAAGGGGGTGTATTAAGATATGTTGTGTAATACATCGCATAATTTTATTTTCGAGGATCGAGGTGCGTTTTGATGTGATCTTTTTTTTTCATGTAGTTATTGATAATTAATAATATATAACTAAAATAATAAACGTTATATTCAAATTTAATGTCTGAATATAAGTTGAACAAGGGTTATAAGGGGAAGAACTGACCACTCGAGAAACGAGTTTAATCTTTATATATCACATCTGTTCTTTCACACCAGCCACAAACACAGGAAATGATGACTTTTACAAAGTGTTGTGCAAGGTGACCTGAAACATTGACTATAAATTATTACATTATTACATGTATAGCCTCTGCAGTTCAGGTAAATATTCTTTTCATGTATAGTAATTTCTCATAGGATTAATGTGCATATTTGTCATTGTTTTTCTACGATATATTACAACGAAATATTTTCACTAATTGTTTTTTTTTTTTAATTTCTTCACTTTTCTGTAAAAAGGTAATACGCATTGAATTAAACTGACATTGCAAAACAAATATATCGGGTTATGGCAATGGAATCATTTGTATGGTGTACAGTTATGCTATGGGCGGCGTATTCTTTCAAGTCTGGGACAAATTCTGTACTTTACTCGACATAATCCATGATGATTCCAGTGCTATTCTTGAAAACTTGCCTTTGTAAACAATTGTAATGACTTCGCATCCGATGTACAAAATCTGTATAGTTACCTCCCTTTATGTAAAAATTTAAATTCGTGAACGGTTTGTAGAATTGCAAGAAAAAAATAATATAGCATATGGATCGAAATTAAGATATAAACCGATATCAAAAGTAGATTCATTCAAGGTGAAATAGACTAGGGTGACTCTAAGAGGATTCATGGGAAATTTCTTCTTTGAGTGATTTAAAACCTGTCAAGCAATTAAATGTGACAAATTGCGACAAAAATATTGTTTAGAACATTCATCGCCTTTTTATTCCGTAAAGTTGAATATAACTGCTTGGCCTGTGCTTTCGTAATTTCCGTTATATATTGATTTTACACCTACTTTCGCCATATCAGATCTATCGGAAATGGCTACTTGAGGTTATTTATTAAATACGTAATGTAAACATAAACCTTTAATTACCTAGTTTTATATTTAAAGGAGTTTATGTCAATCCCTAAATATATAAATTTACAATAATGATAATGTCAAAATGGTTCTGTTGAAATATTATAATCTGTATTGACAAACTCGGTAAAATGGGTATAGTGTGTTCCAGTAGTAAGATCAAAATTCATCTGTTATCGAATAGAATACTATACACTAGAATACAATCAATTTATATCCATAGAAGTGTATCTGAAAGTGAAAAATAACTCAATTCATCTGTAATTACAAAGCATTGAGGTTAGTATTTTTGACTTAACCATTACATAATTGTATAAATTGGCTTGTGAAGGTGTCAAGCATAGTCCTGCGTTTAATAAACTCTGTAATCTTGCATTGTAACTCAACTTTTACCAGTGTGTGGTGAGTGAATAATAACCAATACAAGTGTGCATTAATCAAAAATCTAACTCGGATGCAACTGGCAATTAAACTTAAAGCGAAAACAATTAATCTACACGGGAAGATGATGTCTTGCTGATGCATATTAATCCACTAGTGGCATGATGTATTTGGCATATAAACTTGACATGAATTTTTCCATACAGGAGTGACACAATATTATATCAGGCAACCACTGGTTTAAACGTATAGCTCAGATGCCAAACTTTACAATCCTCCAATTACACTATTTACGGTTTGTTTATTCTGTGCAACATTGTACATTACTTATTGTATAATGTCACAATTTATAAAGTATGTTTAGTATGAATATTAAATACAACACTTAATAATAAAGGAAGTGTAAATTAACCACTGCGGACAATTCACGTTAATCTATTTTAGAAACGGAGTTCTTTATTAACATGTAATGTACTAATGAAGGAAGTAGGCTGCTCACGACGAGGGGTTTGGAATGTCATGATTATCACTTTCTGTATAGTCTGAAACTCCGGAATGCATTTTTGACTTTGCAGAAGATCATTTTCAGAACCATGTGTTTGTATCTTGAATCAAGATATATATCAGACTATATTTTAGTATATTGTAGGCATTATTTTAAAATTCAGATAGTTGAAATTGAATGGTCTATTATAATACAGGGCAGTAACTACATTAAAACAAATGAGGCAAATGCCTCGTAACGAATTTGACAAAAAAAGGAAAAGAAAAGAAATCTTTGCAATGAAACTAACGTCAAAGACAACAGGACTATAAATATCAACTAATATTAATAAAAATTAGTAACGGTGATTAAATTGAATGTATGTATGAATATTTACAATACAATTGATCATTAACAGTAAAAAGCTGAGTTGTTGAGACTAGAGTACATGATCTACATTTTGAATGAGATGATGATTCAATAAAATGAATATGCCATAAATTTTTTATTAGCTATGTGGACTTTCTAGAAGAGAAGGCTGAGTTGTCTAGTTTACCTAAAATGAAATATGGCTTGGTGTACACGATTTTCCAGACTTCTAGAACATTGCTTACCTTACTATCAATGGTTATCCACTGCAAAGGTATCTTAATAATTTGATGTTCTTTATTTACCAGGACTAGTGACGGTGATGTACTAAAGGAAGAGGAGTGTCGGATTATGAAATGAACTCAGTATAAATATCATACTCCATTCAGAAAAACATCATTCAAATCATGATGCTGGACAAACAAGAGACAGACAACCATCTTGGAGAAATCATGGAAGACTCTGTAATATCTGAGCAAAAACAACCAGATTTAGAAGAACTTTCTGTTGGGGATGCACAACCTGTCAGAAAAAATCGTGTATCAAATAACGATCCTGATATTGTCAAAACTGTTATTGAAGAACTTCATGATGATACAGAAATAGAAGACGATGGATTACCAATTGATCGAGGTTGGGCTTGGGTTATAACATTTGGTAGGTTACAATTGGTTCCACGTTATATATGCTATTGGCTTTGTACATTATCTGGCGATACATCTCATATCGCTGACTGCATAGCGCAAAATATCGGATATACAATATTAGCTATGCTGATAAAAGTAAGTTGGGACAGATATTCTGGCAAAATTATTATCAGAACACATGATACTCATTGTGTGTGTAAAATATTCATGCCAATTACTTCATTTCAGCGGCATTTCATAATTTCTTGATAATTGCTGGTTATAATAAAGCAATGGGGTTGTTATTCATTGAATTTTTAATATTGTTTAAAAGTTCTACAACAGAAACTGCCTTGATTGTTGGTGTAATGGCTGGTGTATTCGGTATTTCAGGTAAGAATTTCTGTTAATTTTATATCTTGAAGGACATAATTGTAACAAAATATTCAATACAATGCCATGATTTGGCAAGTACGCTGCACAAAATCCAAAGTATTAATCATATAGACTGGTAATGTGTCGAGTATTTTTCCAATTCCAGCAAGATGATAATGATGTACATGAAATATGTAAAAATATACCAAATTTTGTGCTTAATTTGAAGGTCCAAACCAAGCAAGGTTTTATTATATGTAATTTCTATTTTATTTACTGTTTTGCAGTGTTTATCACGATGCAAGTGTTAGTAAGTAAATTTAAGATAAGATATATTGTAATGTTAGGAGGGTTTTTATCTGGTATTGGTATAATATTATCAGTATTTGCTACCAACCTAATACAATTAATCTTAACACAAAGTGTTTTCGTTGGTATGTATATTATCACAATCTGATCCCATTCTTAAATGTTCATGTAAATCTTGTTTATCTATGATGACTCTACTTGCTATCAACGATCGGGCGAAATTGGTTGTTCTGTTCATTAAAATATTCAACTGAATAATTACAATATATTCACTTGAATTTGCTGCCAATGTTATCAATGTTTCTTTAATCAATTAAAATGGATAATGGATAATTTAGATGCTAAACTAACGATGATGACACATATATATGAAATGAATAAAACGTCAAAGGTTTTATGCCTTTAAGTCCGAGTGTTCCGAAGAAGACAAACAAAATCCACATCTGAAAGAAAAGTCTTTCCAATATTAGTCCTTTGGACCTTCAGACTGAGTGAGAAAACGAAGATGGCACATCCGAAAACCCTCAACCTATAAAGAATTTATTCGATATATCATTTTCACGATTTTTCCAATTTTAGGAATGGGTAATTCTATGGTTCATGCCCCAGCGTTGGTGCTAATTGGGAAATACTTCAAGAATAAGAGATCCACCGCTGCTGCTATTGCTGCCAGTGCTGTAAGCGCTGGGGCCGTCATATTTCCTCACCTGGTTAAATATCTGATAGATGAGTATGGACTACGAGGTGCTCTTCTTATTCTTGGAGGAATTCATCTACACATTTTAGTAGCAGGTCTTCTTATGGTACCCATTGAGTCGTTCAAAACAAGGAAACAAGCCAGGAAGTCAACTATTCCACGTGTTTTATCACCAGATGGCATTGTTCAACCATGTGACAAGATTGATCTACAATTAATAAGATCTCGGGAATCGCTAGTTAGTTGGGATTCTAATAACAAATTAAAACCAAATTCCCATTACAGTCCATTGTTACTTCACAGACCAAGAACGCGTTCCAATGCCAGTAGACTTTCAGATTTCACTTCCCAAACTGATATCTCAACTTTCGTACCAAACAATCAGGAATTCATTGATTCAAGAGTTGAAGAATGTGAAAATCCTTTTCTTAAGGGAGATAATCGATTAAAGACGTTTTTCAACTCTTTGGGATTCTATTTATGGAAGAAACCACTGTTTCTGTTATTAAACTCGACATTCGCCTTAAACAGTTTCTTGGTGTTATTTTTAAACTATTATCCGGCCTATGTGGTAGAATTAGGAACCAGCGAGCAAGATGCAGCAAACATTTTATCTATTGCAGGAGCCGTAGATTTCTTTTGCCGTCTAGGCGCGGGACTATTTGCTGATTTAGGTTATATGAAGCGAACCCACATTTGTGCAATAGCGCAGATTGTTTCAGCGCTCAATTGTCATCTGTTGGTGTTTTATAGTTCTTACCATTATCAGATAATAGGTATTGTTTTATTTGGAATGTTCAGTGGTGTTTATAACTCTTTTATTCCTGTTTTAATCATGGATTTCCTTGGCATGGATGATCTGGCCAAAGCTCTGGGATTTGTTATGATTACACACGGAGCTGCTATCTGTGCTTATCATCCCATAGTTGGTAAGTTTCATTCCAAAACGCTTTTATCTTATTTAAATGCTTGTGACTTAAGAGATGTAAATTCTACTTTGCGCTACGACGGTGTCTCAGTAATATTATAGAATCTAAAGTTTTTCTAAATATTTTCTATTTCAGGAGCATTGAAAGACTATACTGGTACTTACATAGCATCATTTCATTGTATGGGAGCCTGTGTTATATTGTCCGCAGTTTTATTACTTATGGAACCTTTGTTTAGAAAGTGTAAGAAATCTCAGGAAACAATTCATACAAAAGAACTTGTGATCGGTTGAGAATGGTATCCTTTGTTCACAATCAGAAACATCATAGAAACTTAGAAGGAATCAGGACTTCCTCGGTTGTCTGAAAACTAGAAATATGTTGCTCAGTGGACTGTTGCTTAGTGGACAAATCGTTAGATTTGTTAAATAGAATGGAATAGAATATATATTCAGCAGTTGATCTGCGACATATCTAATGAATATCATCCAACCACATGGCAACCTTAGCAATGTATTTACTTTATCTATTTATTGACCATTAAAGTTTATTATTTTGATTTGATCTCTAAAATGTATCGAGTCAATAGCCAATTGCAATTTCTGTGAGTTCAACCAATAAAAAACTTGTGTGAAAGACGGGTAACTATTCGTGAAGAGCCTTAGTGCATCAGTTTATTACCATCGCATTGGTTTCATCTCCGACGAAGGGAAACTGAGTTGAACCATCACGCTTCCTTTGTGTTTCACAGAATGCAGCAATTTGTTTGGATTGTACGCCAGGAAATACAGCCAATCATAGCCCTCGGCACACGGACTGTGTATATTATTGCTTATATTTCCACAATGTCAGAAACATTAATACAACCTGTTTGAAAGAACTCTGAAGATTATATATTATTTTTGTTTAATCTAATGTAGCAGCTTCTAAAGATTGCATCTGTATCTGCTTTCCTTTCATAATTCATTACTCTGCTACGTCTGGTCTTTTCTGCAAGCGTTTTGCACATCGAGCTATAAAGAGTTCTAAAAGCAGCATCAAAGCTGCCAGTAAAAGCACTGTACCTATAAAGTGGTATGCTGGTATAAAAGAACCAGTATAATCTCTTAGAGCCCCTGGAATTAGATAACTTCAAATATTAAATTAGGAGATGAATTGTGATAATGAGATTCATATAATATGAATATTGGAGATCGATGGAGATCATTGCAATTTTCTGATGATTTTTCTTGTAGAAAAAAAACATAACAATGACCTAAGACTGCAACATACGATTAGTCGTATACACATTATTGTATGGTTTGATAAACTACTGCGTTATGTCGAAATACCTTTAGGTTAAAGAAGTGGTCCATGCTTTTCAAATAGATGTAAAAACTATTTTATAAGTAACTCCTCGAATTTAATTTACTTAATTTCATGTGGGAAATGCCCCAAACAATGTATAAGAGAAACCAAAAATAATTTACGCACTCGATTTACTGCCAACAGATCAGATGTCAAATTTAAGAAAGACAAGCATCTTTCTAATCATTTCAACTTGGTCGACTATTCAGCACACGATCTTATCCTAACCCCCATTGATCTTATAGTAATTGGTCTGCCAGAGGATTAAACTTCGAAATCCTTTCAAGCTGTGGAAGCCCAATTGGATTGAAACACTAAATACAGCTAGACCGATAGGACTGAATATTCTGCAGGCATAGCACCCTTTGATGTCTCGTTCAATTCCACGAGCACGTAAAATAGTCCATGCCCAGTATTAAAGTCTGCAAGAGAAATTCCCCCACCATGTCTATAAACAAAAGATGATTGTCGCATATTAAAAAACTTAAATGACATCCTTGATCATAGCAAATTAATTCCCATTAGCATATGATTTATATAGTATTTGTTCCATCCTAGGTCTGTACATTTGGGAGGATAAAACCCTCCCTTCCTCGAAATCAAATAAGATTTATCAAAGTGAAAATAAAGACTAAAATACCATCAACGGACGTCGTCAATTAATTATCAAAAAGTTAAAAAGTCATTACATACATACCCACCAATTATTTACGCCAATAATTATGTCCTTCCTGTTCTGTTGAAAACCATCTTTCCTGCTGGTTATAAATTGCCAGTTTGCTTCCCTTTTACTTGTTCTCGGGTCTGCACTTCCAACCAAACATCAGTTGTCTGAAGATTATACAGCGTGAAACACTGAGTAACAACATGTTTCAGGTTCTGTTTAAATATTTCTATATTTAAATATCACTGTACAATTATATACAATATAACAGTGAAAATATTTTGTCATCGTAAATACAAACCTATGAAGACTGCTTGGAGAATAACAACTTGCTGTATTTCGGTAGCAAAGGCACAGACCATGATACCAATTGCACTCAGTGTTCCACCAAGAGCGACAATAAATCGTATAGGTAATCTACCAACTTATATCTGCATCGATATAAAAAAAACTATAATGTATAACAAACTATATAAGAGGCTAATTTGGTCCAGATTGTCAGCATTCAATGGGACTTCTATAAAAATTGTGAGATACAAGTTGTTCATTGATGAGATGATAAAAGTAGCTATTTTGAGAGTGCATCACAACTTGGAAGTTCTTTCGCACCATAGTTATAATGTACTGTATTCCTGTTGCAAGTTGGTATATTATGTGAAATAGACATATTTACAATCTTATCTTGTAATTGACCTTGGACGACCTGTTTCGGGGCATCTTCACAATGTCGAGCTATAACGAACGAAAGGTCGCTATTGCAGTCAAGGTTATAAGCCAGTTTGCAACATGCCAATTGCACGTAAAGTTCACCACATTGCAAATTATAACACTAAGCATACACTAATTAACCACTATGTGATACACAAATGCAGGATGGTAAACATTAATAGTCTACAGAAATTAATCAACCTTCTTGCAAAGCGTCAAAATCTAGAATGTATGGGGCCACAGCACTGTGCAAGTCCATCCATGCGATATGTTTGGTTGTAGTGATGAACAAATACTCATAACGAACGAACGACTGTTTCTTCTGGGTAGCGTATGTCGGCGTACTCATTTTTATCATAATCATGAAATGTAAGATGTAGGCGATTTGAAAGCAGGTTACAGCCAGACTCAGAAATCCGGTTCTGCTAATTTCTAAGTTTTCATGAATTTTTACGTTAATAAGGTAGGTCATTACCTATTTTGGTAAACGTTCAATAATAAAAAAAAATGTAGAAAACAATTCTTTAATATTTCATAAAGAACCAGAATCTGAAATTGCATAATTATTAATTATAGGTTTTCCTTTCATAATTCATTACTCTGCTCCGTCTGTTCTGTTTTGCAAGCGTTTGGCACAACGAGCTATAAAGGGTTCTAACAGCAGCATCAAAGCTGCCAGTGAAAGCATTGTACCCATAAAGTGGTATGCTGGTATAAATGAACCGGTGTAATCTCTTAGAGCCCCTGAAATTAGACAAATTCAAATACTAAAATTCAGAAAACGTGCGAGACATGAATATTTGAAATCGAAGAAGATCATTAAAATTATATGATCATTCTTTTATTCTGTCAATCCTATCGACTGCAACATATTTGATATGTTAGCTATAATATAATTATACAACAATAAAACATATGATCAAAGTCCAAATAAAAAACATGAAAGAATGAAGAAAAATATGGCCGTATACGCGAAAAATCTAACTAACAGAGTCCATAATCACACTTCGTAAATACATACCTACAGTAGGATGATATATACTAACAGCAACGCCATTCAATATCATTATAAATCCTAAAGATCGAGCTAAATTATCACTGCCCAAAAAATCCATGAGAAGCAAAGCTGTAAATGAATTAAATATTCCACCAAATATGCCATATACGATGGTTCCTAATAGCTGTAATCCATAGCTATCGTAGAATCGGATACAATGACAATTTAAAGCTGTCATGAATAAAGAGAACACACAGATATGAGTTCTCCGAAAACAACCTCTATCGGCAATGTATCCTGCTAATAGACGAGCAAAGAAGTCAATTCCCCCCGCTATTGATAAAAATAAAGCCGAATCGTTTTCACTAGCCCCCTTCTCAACCACATGAGCTGGATAATAAGCTAAAAATAGTACTGTGCAATTCCCACAAAAAGCATTAAATGCCATCATTAAGAAATGCGGTTGTTTCCATACGGTGAAATCTAAACTTTTACACGGATTTCGATTTTTCTTTTCTCTGTGATTGTCTTTGGTATCATCATTGTCGAAGACAACTGAATAAACATCTTCATGGGAAGCAAAAGTACTTCTTCTACTAGATTGTGATGCTGTTCGTGGTCTGATATCACTGATTAACGGACTGAGATACTCCTTGTGGTTAAATTTATTTCCATCTATGATTATGTCCTTCCTGTTCTGTTGGAAGCTATCTTTCTCGCTTTCAAATTGGCAGTTTGATTTGTTATTTTTGATATCATTTTTTACGATCATTTGTGGGACAGTTATAATATTATCATTATTCACATGTTTAGGCTTTGGTTTTCTTTTGAAGCTGTCCAATGGTCTCATCAAGCACGCAAAGACTAGGACATTTAACTCAATAGCACCTATAATTAACAGTGTCCCATCTAAACCGTAATGATCTAATAATAATTTAACGATAGGAGGGACAATAACAGCACCAGCACTAACACCACTGTTAGATATAGCAGTTCCTAATCCTCGTTTCTTTTTAAAATATTGTCCAACTAAAACTAAACCTGGTCCGTGGATCATAGAATTATCAATTCCTAAAATTAAAATTTCATCTATAACAAATATTAAAGGGACAGATTCGCCATTATGGGTTGAGTTGGGTCTTGAATATATGTAATTAGGCTTGGAATTTCTTTTTCTATAGATTTCTTTTTTTCTTTCTAACGTTGATAATCCTGGTCACACATGGATTTCAAGTCTCATCTCGACGGTGAGCTTTGAACATTATTACTGATAAGCTTAGCTAAACAAATCGGTTTTTTTAGTCATGGATTTTAGTAAAATAAAAGCCTAATTGTAGAGAAATATCTCCCACGTCTTCTTAAGGTTTCAATATCGAGCCATTATAAAGCCAAACTGCTTAATCCACAATTAGTACTCTTCGTTTTTAATTACCTGGAATATTTTCAGGCATAATTTACCTTTTTTGATAATGAAAACTTTTTACAAAAAAGAGGAATACTCTTTAAAGCCACCTGTTACTTGAATACCATTATGTGAACATACAAAAAAAAAAAGATTAGATTTTTAATCATATACTCAAATTAACTAATCATATTGATTCATTAGATAGCCGAATAATGCAAAAAATATATATACCATATAACCTACCTAATTACAAGCTTATACCGTATGATAACCTGAACACAATATAAACTCTAATTACACACATATACCCTATGATAACTTGAACTATACACCATATAAACTATTTAATTACAATGCTATACCGTATGATAACTTGAACTATATAGCATATAAACTATTTAATTACAAGCTTATACCGTATGATAACCTGAACTATATAGCATATAAACTATCTAATTACAAACATATTCCGTATGCTAACTTGAACTATACACCATATAAACTATTTAATTACAATGCTATATTGTATGATCACTTGAACTGTATACCATATAAACTATTTAATTACAATGCTATAGCGCATACCATATAAACTATTTAATTACAATGCTATTGCATATGATAACTGGAACTGTATACCATATAAACTATTTAATTACAATGCTTGAACAGTATACCATATAAACTATTTAAGTACAATGCTATAGCGTATAATTTAAACTGTATACCATATAAACTATTTAATTACAATGCTATAGCGTATAACTTGAACTGTATACCATATAAACTATTTAATTACAATGCTATAGCGCATACCATATAAACCATTTAATTACAATGTTGTAGCGTATATCTTGAACTGTATACCATATAAACTATTTGATTACAATGCTATAGCGTATGGTAACTTGAACTGTATACCATAAAAACTATTTAATTACAATGCTGTAGCGTATATCTTGAACTGTATACCATATAAACCATTTAATTACAATGCTGTAGCGTATATCTTGAACTGTATACCATATAAACTATTTGATTACAATGCTATAGCGTATGGTAACTTGAACTGTATACCATAAAAACTATTTAATTACAATGCTATAGCGTAACTTGAACTATATAAGTAGTATATGAGATTATAGATAGGGGGCACCTTTTATAATTTTTAAAAAAAATCACTTTTTAAATTATAAAAACCGCCCCCTATCTATAATCTCATATACTACTCCTTTGCCTGCGGCGCCCCAAGCCCACCAAACAAACAACCCCACCAGGCACGCGATTAATAAACCCGAAGCCTATATGGGTACCCATTTACCAAGCCCCCAAGCGCCCCAGCCCTAAAATATCTTCAAATTAACTCATTTAAAAACAGAATGAGTTTTAATTTTAAAACACGAACAACACAAATTCGAAGGAGACGCTTTCTTCTCAGCTCTATCATCTCTCATCCCAAAAGTAGCCAACTTTGTCTCAAACAACAAATCCCCATTTCCTCAGAAGCGCAAGCTCTTGGATCTGTAGCAAAAGCAGGAGTAAATATAAGCGAAGCAGTGAAAAGATCTAACGAGTTGAAAGAATTACAACATATAAGAGAAATGCGAAATAAAAGACTGATTAATGGGAGGTAACACTGTATTTTGTTTACTTCAAAGTAAAATACCAACTAGTTTACTAGTTATTGATTTATTATAGACTGAATAAAACTCACACTATAAATACCTTTAACGTCTAGTAACAGTCAGACAGAGTATTATTAACTGGATATGCGTGACTTAGTAACATACGGTTATATTTACATATAACATACTACGCGTGCCACGTCGGCATAGATAGATTAAAATATTAACTATTAACACTGTCTCAATTTTGTTACGCTGGAAGACTAGGAATTTAATCATACAAAATCAAAGTATGTTCTTTGTTTAATTTAATTATAAGACGAGAGGGTGTAATTAAGATGATATGCTATTTGTTGTTTTTCAAAATATCAATTTTGTTCTATTCCAGACACAAGTTTAATGGATGTCAACATTTCATATCACGAAGAATATTTAAACCATCACAGGCAGTGGGGGATATAAAGAGGACAAGAATTTTACCAAACTCTCTGACAAATATCCGAGGATTCAAAATTGTTGATACAGATTTCGAAAATAGAACAAGTGCTGAAGAACAAGCGTTTTGGAAAAGGATAAAATATGTGACGTATATCTAGCGATTCTGTAGGAGCGGTCATGACCCTTGACCCTTGAACTATGACTGGCAATAGTATAAGAGGGGAGATAACTCTGAAGTATATCTAGTAGAAGTGTACATCAATATAATTGTTTATGTTTTAAATTTCCTTGTATTTATTAAAACTTACTTTGTTTTTTTTTTGTTATTCTTCCTGCATTTCCATGGGGGTAAATGGTTTCAAATAATAGGGTAAAACCTATCTTTAAAAATGGCAGAAAAATTTACAGATTAGATCCGATCTTTCAATTATATGATCCAATTCGTTATTCGTTTAATAAGAAAAAAGAGGATT